ATTTATTTTTTAGAAGATTATCCACAAGAACACATTAAATGTGATTTGATTCTTCTAACAGTTTGATTGAATCATGATGTTGATATTTTGTGAAAGCATTTAACGCGTAAATCCCCACAAAACAACAAATGACAAGAAATGATTAAATGACAAGAATTAAACCATTTTCCTATCCCAAACCCTCCTATCCTGATAGCATTCCCTATGTAACTTGGAATAAAAACTGCAACTGAATCTGCAACTTGGTCAAAGTTTTCCTCTGCTGTAAACCGTGTCTCAAAACTTAGTCAGCTGCCTAAATTGACAGCATTTTGCAGCATCAGGGGCACGAGAAACACAAGTAAACATGTTGTTTAGGCAGTGCGCTGTGTTTTGAACGCGCCTGTGATGCCCAAAAATACTGGCACGAAGCTCGCCAAGTTTAAGTCACGGCCCCTGCAACAAGAATATAAACAGTGCAACTTAAAGAACTTCAGCTTACCTGCGATAAAGACATGTTTAAGTAGACAAAGAGTCCGGTGGTCGAAGCGATCTGCAGCACGACCACCACAATCACCACCATCGCGATCCATAACTTTGACGGCGAGTCTCGACCGCGGCCGTTCGCCGGAACCATCATGTATGTGGTGGACTCGCTGCTGACCGACCTGAAGTAATCCTGGTTGTTCTGAGTAGCCATGGCATTCCTAAGACGTGAGTAGATACGCGGTTAGTGACAAACAAATAGAAATAAGCAACGGGACGTTGAATAAACTCCTTCTTGTTGGCGCAGAGCGGTCGTGGGAGGGTAGAGTCAGTCCCACACTCGCATGCAGTCACTAATGCTGGAGGACTAGGCTTGTGTGTGTGTGTGTGCGCGCGCGCGCTGAGGGGTTGAGTCTCGAGTGTCTCAAGGTACACTTAACTAATGACTTCATTAACGCTTTTCCTCATATAAGATATCCCACTGAGAACATCTGCAATGTGACATCATAGCCTAATATTTGTCACACTCTCCCAACCTTTGATATTACAGAAAAGCCTAGAATGCTCTCTTTACATGCTAAAGAAATCCGTTTAAACCAGTGGTTCCCATAATTTTTGAGTCAAGGCCCCCAGTTGCCGATTACATTATTTAAGACCCCCACTTTTCAAGTTGTTTATGATTTAGGCCTAATGGATGAGAATTAAGGATACGTTTTTTTTTTTTGCTTTGTTTGTTTTTTAAATATTTACAATTTCTTCATGATACAAGCTTTGCAAAACTATGAAAATGCATATTCCCATGGAGCTATAAGATTTGATTAATTTACATAGCCTAACATTTCGAGGTCTATAAATCACGCTTTTTTTTTGTAATTTGGCTACCTCATACTGTAAATCATTTTTTTTTCTGAATCTCAGGAAATAAATTAAGATAAAAGCCTAATTCTAAGAAGTTCTTAAGAATGTTCCTACAAATAGGCTAAGTTCTTTGGAAGTTATCAAATATTTTCTTAAAACATCCCTTTTCCTAAGAAGAAAAAAGGTTTCAGCCTCATTGTATGGCGGATCTCGATGAAGAATCATCGATTAACTCCCCTCAAAAACCGTCCAACAGATTACCGTAAAAAAACATTTTATCAGCGAACATGATCTTCATCACGCCTGGTTTAACAGGAATTATGCACTCGGCGGCAGTTATTTATTTATTTATTGCGCAATGTATTGTGAGGGCTGCTATGACTCTCATAGGCCTACACTCCTAAAAATAAAGTTCTTCACTTGCATCTATGGTTCCATGAATTAAAAGGGTTCTTCAGATTATTAATGAATCAATTAATTAGCCTATTCATGAATTCTGAACCTTTCTGCTTCAAAAAAAAGAAAAAAAAAGAAAGAGGGCTAAATTAAAATATGAAAACTTGACTTGTAGTTTTTGTTATTACTTATTTATTTTTATTTTTTTGTGTTGTTGTCTTATTTTAAATCATTTGAAGTAATCTTGAGGCCGCTGGAAGTTTGCTGGGGCCCCCTGGTGGACCCGGCCCCCTGGTTAACATTTAACTTGGTTTAAATAAGCCTACGCTGGTTTGCTGTTCTTCAAGTTTTTAACTAAACCCCTCTATAACTATAAACCGTCTTTGGTTTAAGATGTTATTGTGAAACAGGGTAAGTAAAACCTTTAGCCTATATATTTATATAGAAGTTTACATTTTTATTTATATAGTTTTAAAAATGAATGTCAAACCTGAGCTTTAGACATATTAACAAACTAAATTGCTGGTGGGCTATTTGTGTGACTGAGAAAGACGATATAACAAGGGGATCTGCTTTGATTACCTTTACTTACTTAACAGAGCCTTGTTTGTGTAAAGGTAAAATATATTAAGAAAAAAAAACAAGAAAGAAAGATGACCTAGAATGATCTGTGTACATCTGACTAAAACAACTGAAGATGAAAGAATTTGAGTATGTCTAATAAATGACATTTATCACTTGCATTCTTCATCTGTTTTGAACATTCCAGTCGTCTTGAGATAAACGCTCCACAGTAAAAGTGAAGGGACCCAAAACATCACTCCTCTCAACACACTATAAATATATCTGCAGCCTTTCTGTCTGTTTTAGCCATAAACTGCAGGAGACGAGCATCGTGTGTGAGCTGGAGCGTATGTTTGTCTATACTAGCATCTAGTGGAGATGGAAGACAGATGTCTGATGTCAGATGTTTGGTTGGTCGAGGCCCGTGGTCAGCCGGAAAAACCAACCAGACCGATGCTCGCACCTCGACCGGAGATCATCGCTGGTCTCTGCTATGGAAGTGCATTGAAAGGGGTGAGTAATTAATGTGAGACATCTCCTCAGGGCTGGATCTCTCATGTCTGCTACTGATTGTCTGTCAGATGATTTCTAGCAGTGGCATTTAGTGCTGTCAACAGGAAAAAAGAGCTGGTGCTGGTTGAATTAACTGCTTAGAGTATAGTTTTAAAATTTAGTCAACACATTTTATTCAAGACTGGTCTTAACTTTGTAAAGTCAGTTACATAAAAGGTAGACTGGTCTCATTTGAATCTGAAAAGTAAGACACGTGGTGGTACATGCAACTGGCCCCTGAGCTGATGAGTTATACAAAATCACAGTACATCAAGACAATTGTTTTGTATTGCAAGATTTCTGAAATGTTATGCTTAAGTAGGCAAGCGAGACATTATCTCATTAAATATGCACTAATTTGCATACATTTCCTGAACATAAATCTGAACATTGATTAAAGCCAGGTTCAAAATTTGTGTTTATTTTTCGCGGACATACTAGAATTAAAGACTTTGGATATCTTTTTTTTCACTCCACAAGGTATAAAATACTTTCAACAGCCAGAAAAAAAACTTGTACCATATTTCTAGGAACAAAATGTTGTATAATATACAAATGATATACTGTATCAACAAACCCCTCGGTAAAAACATTATTAATATAGATAGGAATAAAGCAGAGAGTTTGGTGTAAGTGCTACTGAAGTGGAATTTTGTGGCTCAAGTGCATGAGAAAAAACTAATGTAATTTAAATTTACAGATGCAAATAGGTGGATGTTTTCTTTCCACTAGTCTGAAAGAAAGACATGTTATGGGACAAAATGACCAAAAGTGTTTTGTCCATGTAATGAAAGTCAGTGAGATCTCAAAATGGACAAAAACACTTTTGAGCCAATTTTCTGGAAATCGTCATTTCTTTTTTTTCTCCTTTTTTCTTTTGCAGAAAGAGAGCAACTCAAACCAATTTGGAACAACATGAGGGTGAGTAAACGATAATGCGTTTTTGGTTTTTAAGTGAACTTTCCCTTTACTAGAGCATGGCACACATTGTATCACATTACGAACTGCAGATCACAGAGAAAATGTCATGTTTTCCATGCGATGACCTTATCGTCATGATCGATAGGGCCTACAAAGAGTGAAAACTCCATAAACCTGCACACACATCCCTATTCTCCAGTGCAAACATGTTAAATGTATTGTACTCATTTTATTAGAATTTATTTAGTCTTTTATGCAGTCTCCCTTCTCCGCCGGCTCCTTTATGGCCCGTTTGATCATACAAATACGAAGGATTGCTCGCCATCCCTGTTGACTTAAATCGCGGCGCTTCAGTGCTTCGCTAGGCTTGAGCGATACGAATAGAAAATATATGAGTACATTAAGTCTATGAGGCCTGTTTAGTGTAAGGAATTCCTTTACATCTGTCTGGCTCTCAGTGTAGAGAATAAATCGAAAAGGGTGGGGGGTGTTGGGAGATTTTCCAGAACCCCCATGATCCATTTGACTCTATATGTGTCAGCTCTGTTGCAATCACTTCGTCCCTTCTCTCTCTTCCCCACTCCCTTTTCCTGCTATCTTTTTTCCTTATGCACGTTTTTTCGCCGTCTCTCATTTTTGGCAGCGATGGTTCCTCAGATATTGGAACAAACACTTCTCCAGATGCGTATAACGGGGCTGGACTTAAAGCCATTGTGTCTTCACTGACACTGCAGCTGTGAAGTCAGTCCCCCTTGTGTATGAGAATATGCGCGTGTGCAATGTTCGAACTATACCGTGGATTTTGGGGGAGCCCACTTGTTTGTTTGTTTTTTTATAACGGGGGGGGGGTTCGTGCGCTTGCGCGTGGTCTTACAATGACTTACACAGATGCATAACAGCTAGTGTGACTAACACAAATCACGTTTTCAGGGGAGCCCATGTCTTATTAAGGGGAGCCGAGCTCCCCCTAGCTACCCCGTAGTTCGCACCCTGCGCGTGTGTGTGCGGGAGAGAGAGAAAGTGAAAGAAGGAGCGTGTCTGGGAGACTGATAGAGCGAGGCAGAGGGTCACAGAATGAGTATGTGTGATTTTGTGTGCGTGGCCCTGATTTTCAAGCTGTGGTCGCCAAGAGTGGGAGTGAGTGGGATGCAGGTTTTCGCTAAAGCGCATTCCTGCCATGTTAGGTATCAGTGCTTGGGGAGTATTAATGGCATGCAGTAAAATAGTCCTGCCTGTTACACCCCCCGCAGCTCCATCATAAAACAGCTTCAACAATACAGCATTCACTGTTTATCATTTTCAGACACACTTTATTATAGGTACTGACATATTTTTGGAAAATAACAACACGGGAACATACAGAATACAGGATCTTTGGTCAAGAATGTGTCAGTGTGTTTTGGGTGGTAGTAACTTCCAAAGCTGATTTGTAGTCAGATTTCCGCTTACCTAATAATGGCTGTGGTTTGAGTGCTTGGACCGGGAGAGCAGATCTTATTTTGGTATAAACAGACAGCGTGCATGCAGCTGTTTCGTCTTTAAGGGCTCATTTTCAATGGGTCAGAGAGAAATTGATTATAACTGTGTATGCTTTGTTATGACTTTGTCTCCTTTTATTAATGTTTGGGATGTGAAAGATTGTGTGGATGAAGATTAATGTCTGCCGTTTTCCGTCTTTATTTCAGGGGGTGTTGCATGGATCACTGACCAGTTCTGCAAGGGTAAAGCTTCACGATCCGTTTAAACGCACATTGTCAATCAGGTGCTGCAGATGCTCCACGAGAGAATCTGAGCTCTTATGGGGCCCTCTGCTGGTCTCTTGATGCATGTCACAAAACTCATCGAGAGAAGCCATCAAAGCACCCACCGTCCAGCCATTCAGACGAGCACTCTGAGAGAGTCTGCAAAGCTACGGGAAAGTAAGAAAAAAAATAATACAATTATTTTACAATGAAAATGATAGAATTCATTGTGAGGACTTTTAATTAAAATGATTGGCAGCTATTCAGCTTGTATGGGTAGTATAATGAATGCCATCAAATAATTATAATGCTTCCTTATATTCTTGTAATAAACTCAAAGCTATAGTATAAGATGGCAACTAGGATTGTTGTAAAATGTGGTGAGTCAGTTTAACAACTTACAAATTATTAAAAAGGATTTACGGGACAGGACAAATTCCTTTTCAGAAAGAAAAATCTATTCAAATCACTTCCGGGTTTTAATTTGATTTATGAATAAGTTTCTGTATTTACTTCTTCTGCAACCTCAATGCAAATATTTTTAATTGTTATGCTATTGTTACTGACATGTTTTATTGTATTTATTTAATCTTTTTTTTTTGTGATAAAAAGTTTCCTTTTTCTGAAATTTTCGAATTGTGATGTTAAAAATTATTGACTGGATATTGGTATAAAATAATACTGAACAAGTAAAATTTGATTTCCAATATGAATTCAAACTTATGTTAATAAATTCAAAGCTATTATCTCATTATCTCAGCAACTAATAGTTGCAAAATTGGGTGAGTTGTAACACTGTCAGTTTTTCAGGATAAAATTCCAATTCTGGGATTTGCGATAAGGTTTCTTCATCCAAACCAATTGTTAGCCTATGTTTTATGTATTTATTCAAAAATGGCTTTGGGATAAAATGTTTTCTTTTTCTTACTATTTTGAATTAAAATGCTTAAAATGATTATGAATTAATGATTAAAAGTATCAAAATGATTGAGGGTTGGTATCAAAATAATACTGAACAAATAAAATTAGATTTTCAATATAAATGCATGTGCAAAATTAAAACTGTAGTCCATGTCATAGGTAACCTACTGTTACAACTCACCTCAAAAATACAGCGTTAAAGCCCATTCACACTAAGAACCATAACTATAACAATAAGCTTTACATTTTAATAAGCATTCTAATTCTATGAGAATAGAGAATTTCACATCATAGCTAAAGACCTGTTCTTACCAAGAATGATTATATTAACATACACACCAATGGGTGCTAACATACTTTATAAGTGCATGATAGTTAAGTCATCTGCTGCTTTAAATGTTCGAGCTCTTTAAAACCGGATGGATTGGCTGTCAGTATTTTTATTGTTCATGAGTTGGAAAAAATCATTCCAAAGTAATTATTTTCCTGTGTCGTTATTGTTATAGCTGTGGTGTGGACGTTCCTATTCTCACAGAATTAAACGATGTTTAAAACTTTATAGTAATCATTATAGTTCTTGTCCTTAGTGTAAATGGCCTTAAAGAAAAACAGTGTAACAAGCAGGCACGTTTTCCTTTATTAGGCTATATAAAAGTCAGTCTGTGAAAACTGTAATATTCTGTACCTTTTGTTGAAGGCTTTTGTCTGGAAGCTCAAACTGAATTGCTTTAGTCCCTTTCTGAGAGGCTGCGGCCCAGAGTAGAGCACACTGCAGTTCCTGGACAGGACTTTCCCCAGCACACATTTTGATTAGCCATGGTTTAATGTCTTTCTCTGGGCCAAATCCTGCTCCCTGAGATTGCTTATAGTTGAACAGTAAACACACAGAATGCTGAAGCACGTCTTCTGCAAAGTCGTTGGCAAATGTGTCTACCGATGATTTCACTTTTATGGCGTCATCTGTAATAGGGTTCAGTTCTGATTTATCGCTGCAACATCTGAAGGGTTTGGCTTTGTGGGAGTTGATTGAGTCTTTACACAGTGTGTTTGAATATCTTCCTTCTTCCCATGGCTGTGGTTCTACAGTTTGGCCCGAAAGATGTGGCTGAGTTCCATGTTTAAACACACCCTGTCCTAGCTTAGCAAAAGTATGAACCATAGCATTAATGATTAGCTCACTAGCTAAAACTTTCACCCCATCTGTTGCAGAGATCTTAGACTTTGTGTCTGGAGCCACATCTACCTTATACTTTGAGCATGATGTTGTTTCTTCCTCCAAAACTTTCCATTCTCCTCTCGCCATCACCTCTGCTAGAGACGTTGTGACAATTTCACTCGCCAGTTGGTCAGTAATAGCCCACATGCTTTGCACACAACCCTCATCCTTGACTTTTATCTCATTTGTGGTGATAAAATGAAGGATATCTGCAGAAATTTGAGCTGCATAGTCAGTTAGCCCGGGAACATCATTTTGGAGTCCGCTATCATCAACTTCTCCGTTCTCGTCTTCTTCCAGACCTCCATTTTGACAGCACTCCAGTGAAAGTGAGCGCATCAGTCTCACCATGAAGTCAGCAGACGCGTCTGTCATTTGGTTCTCCATTAATGGTTGCATGTGGTCTTTGGGGGTCGGTGGAGGGGGTGAAGGAAGGAACTCTTTAGCCAGTCCTCCCTTGAGCTTCCTTGTGAAACTGTCTCGACTCCTGATCATCTCTGGAAGTAAAGGGGTGCTTGGAGGAGCATCAGGGTACTCAATAGAGCCCAGACTAGCCATGCTTTTCAACGAAGTAGCATATACTGTGGTAGATGTGTCATCATATTCTTCCATCTTGTTGTCTGTTTCCATTTCAGATGTGAACTTTTTGTCACAGTTGTACCCTGAGGAGCACAGGGCCGATGCATTTCCATAAGTCCCCTCTTTATCGTCCACACTTTTGGATGATGGATCATCAGAGTAATGATGCCTCTCTATCTCTTCCAATGCTTTGCAACAGACTTGTAAAGTTAACTCTTCAGCCAGCATCTCAACGTCGTCCCCTCTCAGTTTGATGGATTCTCTTGGGTCTCTGATCCTGATGGCTGAATCTATAATAGTTTTGGCAGTCGTCTGTGCAAAGTGTTGAATGGGCTCTAAGTTCTGTTCTAATGTTACATCCAGCAAATGGCTGTATGTTTCCAAAGTGTGTTGGATTGATGATAGGTTATAAGCAGGTTGTGGGTATGAATCACTGTTGATTACGACCTGCGCAGAGTCCTGAGAAGGTCATAACAAAAAAACGAAGACTTGATTTTCAACAGGTTGCTAATACAATTGATATAGTGAACAATTTATTCTTTTAAATTTGTTTTTCTATGGTGTTAAATGTTTGTAAACTAAATTTAGAAGAGAATAAAAAGTCTTACAACTGTAAAGTAATTACTTACATGATTTAATATACTTTTATACTAAAAGTCTTACATTTCTGTACTTACATCAGAGTGAGCAGATTCTGAAGTGGTGACTAGATCACATAGCTTTAATGAGCTGCACAGCCAATCCTCATTAATCATCTGAAAAAGAGATAGATTATAATAATTATAATAATTTTGTATAAAAATACATACAAAATAAATCACTATGTTTATTTTTTATTTATTTTTACACAAAATTATTATAATTATTGCACAAAACATCTAATTATTTTTGGCTAATAATTACTCGGCTTATCACTACCAGTCAATTTTAATATCAGTGCATCCCTAATAATAATAATAA